ATCTAAAAGCAGTGAGCGTGATGGGTATGTGGAGTCATTCTCAAACATGTCAGTTGTTCTGATTTTGGCCAAAAGTTTCCAAATCTCTCTTTAGGATTGAAACATGTTTTTCTCCATAAGTATACTTCGAACTGTGCTCTTTTGTAATTATAGTGAATCTATTTCATATATATATATGATTATAAATATATATTTATGTATTTGTATTTAAATTATAAATACATATAATATATAATTGAAAATTCTTTGTCCTTACATATATGGTTGGGTTTCTTTTTTTTTCAGATTTTTTTATTATTGTTTATTATTATTAGTTACATTTTATTAATGCTGTATCCTGCTCCCTTATTCCCTCCCAAGCCCACCTTCCCTCCCTCAGCTTTTCCCTGCCCCTTTCCAAGTCCACAGATTGGGGAGGACCTCCTCCCCTTTCATCTGGCCCTGTTTTATCAGGTATCTTCAGGACTGGCTGCAAAGTCCTCTTCTGTGGCCTAGCAGGACTGCTCCTCCCTTGGGGGGTGGGGAGGTCAAAGAGCCTGTCATTGAGTTCCTGTCAGAGATAGTCCCTGTTCCCCTTACTATGGGAAACCAATTGGTTATTGAGCTACCATGAGCTTCGTCCGAGCAAAGGTTCTAGGTTATATCCATACATGGTCTTTGGTTGGAGAAACAGTTAAAGAAAAAACCCCTGTGCCCAGATATATTTGGTCCTTGTATGGTTGGGTTTCTATCTTTTCTATTGATTCACAACTATACAAGTTTCTTAACTATACTGGCTTACCCGGGACACACGGTGGCTTCTATACAGCAAGCATTTAATAATGTTGGGGAATTACAAACTTATGGATAGTGACGTCAAACCTCCAACACATCTCAGATTAGTGTCCAAGGTGATTCTTTAAAGTGCACACATTTGAAGCAGTGGTTTAAAGTGCACTCATACGGAGCAGTGGAATGTGAAGAGACTTTATTTTTCAGGGGATTTATTGACAATATGAAGAGAGCTAAGTAAACCAAAGACAGCATATATCCCATTGGTGATATTGGGAACGTGTTCAAGAACTACTAGTTTGTTCAAGGAGTCCGCATGAGCAACCAAAACCACCCTAACAATTACAAAGACTCAAACGAATCCAGAGATTGCACTGACAACATTTTGAATAACATTTACGTTTTATTAATCTCAACTCAGTTTTTCCCCAACCTCCTATTCTGGACATTTTCCTTGTTTTATTCCTAAGTAGTTCCCAAAGTTTGCACATACATGGCTTTCTCTCAAATGATTTCCGCTTTCGGGTGCTTCTCTTTCATTGTTTTTACAGACCAAGTATCTTTTCTGCTTTCTGCAATCCTTTTTTTTTTTTTTCCCTAGACTCCCTTTTTACATCATCAATGGTGTTCAGCCTCTATGTCCCACACCCACCACTATGAGTGACACACATTTGGGGAGCATTCTATGATTTATGTCTGGAATTCTTGGATTTCAGAGATGAAAATTTAGTTCACGACCCATAAGCTCAACTAAGTGTCTAGATGGAAAATAATGAGAAAATAAATAAAAGTTATGTACTCCAGTTTTTAACCCTACCAAAGCATGTGTTAGGTCATCACAGGTAGCTTTGTAGTTAGAAAATATTATTTACTTTTGACTGTTGAATAAAATTTAATTGATTTCCCAACTAGTAAGCCATATCTTTCTGTACACGACACACTTTTCAGCCACACAATTTAGCATAGACAGACTAAAAGAAAAAGAGAGACTTCTTGGTGAAGTTTAATGTTTAAAAAAAAAGTGCCAGTATTCTACATGCATGAATATCTCAAGGTTTTCATTTCTTTTTACTTCAGGAATGTTGTGGTGTATAAACATTTTACAAAGCTGATCTCAAAAAACAATGACTTGAATAATCTGTGCTTTAATGCAAAAACAAATATTAACTTGGTTTCTCATATAACATGTTTATTCAACATTTTAGTGTCAACCATTTATTAAGATTATAACACTTAACCTTGAAATGGAGCTAATAACATTTCTATTCATGGCTATATATTTTATATTTTAAAATGACTTTGAGTAAAATGAATGCTACTGTCATTAAATTGTGCTTGGAGCAAAGACAAAGAAACATCAGCTCATTGGTTCCAGCTAGTAAAACTAATGATGCAATGTTCGTTACATTACTTTAACGCTATTGTAATGTGAAGTATTCTCTTTTTTGCTTTTATTTGTCATTGACGCTCAATATATCATCCTTGAACTTTGGCAATTTTCACTCGATTTGGATTTAAATCTTGATTTTAAATATGTGCTCCAAATTGTCCTAATGAAGATCAGCATTTTGCTTCCTTTGGCTATCTCAGTCGTTCTTTCAACCTCAGCTTGAGATTTCTACTGGGATTTAGGGCTTTCTAAGAAACATTTTAGACATTGAAGCATTATCGCTGCATCAGAGGGGATTAAAAATCACCAACGTTCTGAAGTAGTATGTGCTTTAGTATTGTTCCCACCTGTTTCTTTTTTATTATAAAGTGGCAATTTGTACTATCATTAGAAATATACATTTATATATAAAGTTTTGCATTCAAATCTCTTTATTTTGACTACCTAATGAAAGACCACAGATCAAATAAAAACTTTATATAATATATCCTCATTTCAGAAGCATATGTATATATACACATATATATTTGTAGAACAATCCACAGTTTTAATTGTGATTCTGGCTTTAAAAAATGCTATTTACAATCTATGACAGAGTAATAACCTCAGCCTTTGATGGCATTAAAATGAGCAGGGAATTTTTAAGTTTGACTGTGTCTCACCTTGTGCAGGGGAAATCAAGCATTGTCATGGAAAAACCTTCTCAAAAGCAAGGACTAGTACACTAAGCCATGAAGTGTGGGGGTAGATTTTTCATTTTGGGGCCTATGTTTTAAAACATAAATCACTGTTAAAGTAATCATGATTCTTCACTAAGCAACTAGGGGTCCCAGATTGGACCTAAAGACCATTTAATACACAACAACCAAGCTACACTTTCACCCTTTCTTTTTGTTTCAATAATCTCAACACGTCTCTGTGCATGACAGAATCACCAAATAAAAAATAACATCTAGCAACAGTACTGCCATTTTCTTAGGTAGAAGAGTTATTTTGTATAAATTTCTGGATTCAAATGAGGCCCATAAAGAGTCATATTATATTATTGTGTATGCACTGTCCCAATCTATCATGGCTAAGAAAAAAATGTCTTATGAACTTCATATATGTAATTCAAAAGCAAAACTATCACTGTGATCAAGAAAAGGATGGCTTACTGTGTTCCAGTCTCCTGAAGCACAAGGTCTCTAAGTCAGCAGATGGAACTTCAGCACCATTTGTTTCTAGACCTCAAACATCTAGCTAAAGTATCAAGTAAAGAATATTGACCAGTGAGCCATTTTGTGAGAATCACAGAAGTTTTGTTTCCATTGTCAAGCCCATTCAATTAAAGCAAAAGGGCTCCCACAGTTCTGTACTGCAGTCCTTTTTTGGGAGTATCCCCTTCCATTGCTTTAGAGACAACAAAAAAGCAAACCCTTACCACAATCAAAGAACAGGTGAGAGATGAATTGTAGCCAGAAAATAGAACAAAGACTATCACAGTGAAGAAATATTACTTGGAATAAAGCTGAAAAACAATCATTGAAACTGACTCATTTTTTGAAGAAAATTGAATAATTACATATTTATATTTCTTCATGCATTTTAAAGCTTAAGACAGTAAATATTGGTTCTATTTATGATTTCAATGTGCTTAAAAAGCAACCAGAGAGTGAGCAAATGTCCACCCTGTGTTCTCTAAACCACATTTTTTCAGGTTTATGAATAAAAGGAATGTGAGGCTTTCATTTTTTTTTCTCAATCAGGTGTAAATAAAGGAGAGTTAATTTCCAAAACACATCTACATTTCCTTAACATAAGGTGGAGGAAAAACTAGAGACAAATTGAGTGGTTCAAAAGATCTCTTTTAAATATTGACAGGATAGGGACAAAGGTGTTCCGGATGATGAATGATGGACAACCACTAAAAATAGAGAAGGGACTTTATTAGAGATTAGTATCAGTATATTTTCATGAATAACGAGATTAAATTTCTATCATTATCAATGAGATGGCCATCTGTGATTTCCATCAATTACATTTCCTGTGAACCCTCACCTACATTATGGTTAAGTAAACACATCACCTTAAAAACTCCAGGCACTTCCCTCTAAAGGAGCCCATGACCCATTTTGTTGAAGCCTCATTATTTTTTTTTTTCAATGAAAATAAGGCTTTGTGCTTGGGATTTGTTTGGTCCTGGAAGTGAAAGGTATATGTATAATCAAGTTGGATCAACAGTGACAATGAATACAACTTCTGAATTTGTATCTTTACATGGTTATTCTTTTCCTAACATTCCTATATTTATTAAAAAAATCTGACACTTTCCATGTATTCTGATTTAAAATATTTCCAAAAGCCTTGTTTCTGTGCATAAACTCTATTCTTCCTATATTTACAGGAAAATTCCTCCAGTACATTTTCTGCCACCCTCCAGAGAACATAAATAGGATACTTGATAGAACAAGAATCACATTAAAGAATAATGATTGTGTAGAGTGGAGACACTACATTTAACCTCGAAAGAATACAGCAACCAGTGGGAAAGTTTGAGGTGAGGGCTTAGAGCTTCTGCAAAATATGTGTTTTAGGTAGGCATAGTTGGGACAATACATGCTGGACAGTAGAGGCATAGGAGAAGTCACATGCTAAATCTTCTCACTATGATATCCATAAATCCGCAAACATTCTTAACATTCTGGGTTTGGTTTGTTTTAATTTGGATGTCTCTACACCATTGTTTGTTTCCAGGGCTGAGTAGATGTAGTGATTCCAATGCCATGGCATAGCTTCATATCTTTGCTAGTGTTTGTTAGTACTTCAGTGTTCCTAACTGTGTTTGCTTGCTTTCACATGGTGGTTTGTGTTTTTTTTTTTTTTGTTTTTTTTTTTTTTTGTTACTGTACAAACCCACCCACAAAACCCTATGTATTGGAATCAAAGCTGTCACTTCCACATTTTTTTCCTCTCCCTGTCTCTTGAAATGTCCATGTTTGACTAGTTACCTTCTGTTTTTCTAGAACATAGAATTATTGCAAACTGGGCTTATCTGTGTAGATAATTCCAGCAAACAAGCCACTGGATTCATAGATGATAAGTAAGGAATTTCACAGCCATGCCCTCTAAATTTCTCATAGAGTTTGGAAAACAATCTACAAGCAAAATTCTGACAACGTAAAAAATGCAATTTAAATTTGCTTTGACTCTATGTCTCAGACTTATTTCCTTCTGTAAAACCCGTCTTCCTTCTCTCCTGTTGCAAATTATGGTAAAAACAAAACAAAAAGCAACAAACAGAAAAAAAACCAACTTTTTTTGACATCTAGACACACATGTACACACTCAAAGATACCCACAAATAAACACTAAGACTGAATCAAGAAAGCAAGGAGCCTGTGCTTCTTCACCAGGTGGAGAGGATTCCCTAAGTTTCCTCAGTAATACAATAAAAGCCTTTTTTTTTTACTAAATGTCTAAAAAAATAATGAAATCCCAGATCACTACCTAGATAAAAAATATAACATTCTCATTGAAGAATGTAAAACTCTTTACAAAGGAATTAAATCAGCTGATGTGATTAAATTCAACACAAAATTTTCCTTTACTAAAATAAAAATATATTATCAACATCAAGAATAACATTTAAAACTTTTCTTCATGCTAAATGGCCCCTGGCTATATGTCGGATAGACATTAGAATAATATAATTTTGACATCTTCAATTTTATGATTAAAATAATATCCTAGAAGCAGGATGTAGTTGTGTACAACTTTCAGAAGTCTAAAGAAATACAAAGATGAAACAAAACCGCACATCACAGAATTCTCTAGAACTTAAAAGAATTTACAGTTCAACAACAGTTTTAGTGGCTTTCTCAAAACCTTTCCATTCATTCAGTGACTGCATTTTGTTTGCATTATAGTCGTGTCTTCATTACAATTAGCCCTCTGTTAATAACAACTCAGTTAAATTTAATGTTTGTGGAGTCCTGATTTATTTTTTTCCTTTTCTTTTATGTGCAATAATTTTTATGCATGTGAATTTTCTACCACATTGCAACAGGCAAGCTTTGGTTCAATTTTCTTGTCCTACACAAAGGAAGATTTCGAGTGCAGAATCTCAGCTACTAAGTCCTGTGATGCTGTTTTATTTATTTTTTTCTCTTGTTGGGTGAATTTATTGGAGAAAATGGGAAGAGGGAGGAGAGAAGAAGGGAGAGGGAGGAGAGGGACAATAAGACAAGTTCTCAGCTATGTAGAATCTTGATTCACGACTTTGCCTCCATTCATGGTGGGTGTTCCCGAACTTTTCCTCGAACGTCCTTGCTTTTCTCCAATTTCATGTAGTGATGGTTCTCTGTACATACACACTGTAAAGCAAAATGACAAAAATTACTTATGCTGATTAACAAAAACTTGGCTTCAATGAAATTCTCAGATTTGACTTTAGAATATTCTTCACTGTCATCACCAGTTCTTCTCCCAAATGTGAAGTGTTAGGGATAAATATCCTCAGGAGCTACATATGGTTCTCTGTGCTTCGGTTAGGCACAATCACCACATGCATGCCAGTTGTTCCTGTTCTGTGGAATATAGCTTGAATATATACAGTCTCCTAATGTAGTAACAGGATTTTTATTGAAAGGAGAAATCACAAATGCAGTATTTAAAAGTAAACATACTTTGCTTTCTAGTCCTTATTCTCTAGCCTAGTTTCTGGAGGAGGATATTTCTTGACACGCTCCTAGTTTACCCCATTACAAAAATTATACCATTGCTGTGGCTATGAATTTTTAGCCCTAATGTTTAGAGCATCCTTCATCAGAAGGCATATTTGGGTGCAGAGAGAGAAGTAGAAAAATATCAACATGTTTCCTTAATTGGCCCATACTTCCTTCACCCAAATCAAGGAACAGAGCCCTCTCTGTAGCTACTCTCCAATAGGAAAGGTAGGTTATTCAATGTAGAATTAAGTCCATATCCTCTCTTCTTTGTCTTGCTCTAAGGTTATTATCTATAAGCTATCATGGCTGTTTCTCAGTCATGGCTTAGAATGAATAGATTTTCCAGTGCATAGTTACTATTACAAGATAAATCACCATAGTGAGTCCTTTAGACTCACTGGTTTGTTATTATAATAGAGATAAATATGTCTACCTAGGCATATTTCACTTAAGTATCAGGAGCTACTTTAATTTTTTAAATAAGAACAAATAAATATCCTCTGTCTAATCTGTCTATCATCAGCACAATGATTCAATAATTTGAATGTTGTTTCCAACATCAGATAGTTTCCTCTGCTGGGTATGAATGGGGAATAATATATCTTCAGGAGATATACTATTTGATCCACAGGCTGACTCAGCTACTTACTGAGGGTCTCAACTTGGACACACTTTTTTTTTTTAGGATCTTTTGTGCTTTTGTAATTTTTATTTTTTTATATTAATTACAGTTTATTCACTTTATATTCCAGCTGTGGCCCCCTCTCCAATTCCCTCCCAATCCCACCCTCCCTCTTCTTCTCCTATGCCTCTTCCCCAGTCCACTGATAGGGGAGGTCTTCCTCTCCTTCCTTCTGATCCTATTCTATCAGGTCTCATCAGGAGTGTCTGCATTGTCTTCCTCTGTAGCCTGATAAGGCTGTCCCCGCCTCAGGGGGAGGTGAATGAAGAAGGAAACAAAAGCAGCGTACTAATGAGCTAAATATTGGCTAGAAATTTGAACAAAAACTTAGCCAGAGCATGGCTAATAAATTCTGATAGTGTGGTTCAATTCACCCCTTTCATTGAGTACACCTGTGAAGACCAAAAGATGGCCACAAAATTAACTCTATGAGAATGGAAAACAACAATAGTAGGCAGATTATGAAGGAAATATTTTTAAAAGTGGTATGAAACTCATGCTTGAAATATGGGTCTTAGTCAAGTAGCTATAGTCTACTAAAGGCAGCATGCTGGTAGAAATCTGGCAATTTCCTGGGCATATGGATACAGGCAATGCAAACATTGATGACCTGGGCAGTTTCAGTGATGTCCTTAAAGTGAAGATGAAGATTTGAACCTTTTGATTTGAATGTTTTTTTTTTAACTTTCACTTTATTTACTTTGTATCCCCCCTCTAGTTCCCTCCCTCCTCCCCTCCCAATCTCTCTCTTCCTCCCCCTTCTCCACACATCCCCTCCCCAAGTCCATTCAGCAATGAAAAATAAGGAAATCATGAAATTTGCAGGTAAATGGTGGGAGCTGGAAAGGATCATCCTGAGTGAGCTATCCCAGAAGCAGAAAGATACACACAGTATATACACACTCATATAAACATGTAATATAGGATAAACCTACTAAAATCTGTACACCTAAAGAAACTAATCAAGAGGGAGGACTCTGGCTAAAATGCTCAATCCCCACTCCAAAAGGCAAAGAGTATGGACACCAGAAGAAGAAGAAAACAGGAAACAAGTTAGGAGCCTCCCACAGAGGGCCTCTGAAAGGCTCTGCCCTGCAGACTATCAAAGCAGATGTTGAGACTTATGGCTAGACTTTGGGCAGAATGCAGGGAATCTTATGAAAAAAGTGGGAAATAATAGTAAGATCTGGAAAGGACAGGAGGTTCACAAGGAGGGCAACAGAACCAAAAAATTTTAGCACAGGGGTCTTTCCTGAGACTCATACTCCTACCAAGAGATAACCTAAGACCCCTGCACAGATGTAGCCTACGGCAGTTCAGTATCCAAGTGGGTTCCATTATAATAGGAACAGGGACTTCCTCTGACACGAACTGATTGGCCTGCTCTTTAATACCTCCCCCTAAGGGGGGAGCAGCATTACCAGGCCACAGAAGAAGACAAGGCAGCCACTCCTGATGAGACCTAATTGACTAGGATCAGAAGGAAGGAAAAGAAGTCCTCCCCTATCAGTGGACTTGGGGAGGAGGGTGGAGGACTTGCATGCAGAGGGTGAAGGAAGGGAGGGATTGGGACAGGAGGAGGGAGGGAAACACAGGGGGGATGCAAAGTGAGTAAAATGCAATTAATAAAGAATTTTAAAGAAAGGATTCTATATAGTATGTTTTAGAGAATTCAGTATAAACTGTTCTGGCCAAAGCCATTCCACCACATCCGACACATATATTAAGAAAACTACAAACATGGCTCTTATAGTACTAGTTCAATGAAATAAAAATCTTCCAATGCATTCGGTAGTGTGCAGTACTGTGTGTTTATACCACGTAGGCATGTGTTACTATGCAACTTATGAGTAATTAGTTCTATAGTGGGTTTGAGAATCTTCATTTTTAATAACTTATAGATGATGCTAATATTGGTGAAATACAATACACATTCTCTGAATAGTACAGAATCGGACTATGATATATGTTCATTCAATGTTTTATGCAACAGTATCACAAATGTATTTTAGAATGATGTTTTTAAATATTTCAATTATTGACACAAATATTTCCCATATCTCAAAATGCTATCTGTTGAAGTGGGAGTGTGCAATCCTAGTAGGCTATGTGCTAATAGCTCAGAGAGTTGATTCTGGTGTTTTTTAATGGTGCAAATGGGTAAATCAAATTCCTGTCTTTAGCAAAAACAACAAAAAGAATGATGGAAAATTCTTATAAAATAGCCAAGTAGATTCTTAAAATCCCTCAAGTGTACTAGCTCTTAATTGCATTTCTGTTATGAGGCAAGTAGAGCATTCTATCAAACCTCCAAGGTGAAAGCAAACTTTCATTTGTGCATAATATAACCACTTATCTATAACTGGCTAACACACAGGGAAACTCAAAGGCAATGAAGCGATTCCACTGAAAAGCAATTCACAGAATACCATGGAGCAGTTTTCAGAATTCTGTTACCTAATCAACTATGAAAACCCACAATCTTTGGGCTCCAGCACAGATCACTAAATTATAATCTCAATGGATGAAAAAAAAAAAAAACCTTTTGTTTGTAAATACAGAGAAAATGTACTGGGCCACAGATTATTTCAACATCATCTTAGGGAATACTTGAAGGGCAATACTGCCTGATTACCCTTATATAATGTATTTGTATAATTACATTTTCTATAATTCCAATATCCCTTCTCTTCTCATTCTATTGAGTCTACCCAAGTGATATATTTGGTCTTTTATTTTTATGTATTTACTATTTCTCACACATACCAAAACTACTTCAAGTGTGAACTCACAAATATCAGCACTAGAATGTATGCTGCAGACAAATTTTCCAATAATTGAACCCTACTATCCATTTCTGAAATTGAGTCTGCAAAGAAATGTTCAAACTGACTTGTGGAATTTTACAGTTGATAAAAGTAAAACTCACAAATGCCACAGCAGATGTATTTCTTTTTTAGGGTAATTCAATCAGTACCCTCATTATATCCCATTAAATTGAACAATAAAATTCAGGGTTTTAATAAACAAAATGATTAACAAGATTGTCTTCCAATTCACTGAAAGAAACTGTCTTTCATTCACCCAATGAATAAAATATCCATTTCCTTTTCTACATTGCTGCTTACCAAGCGAATTTGTATGATAATACAAAGTAAAGTCAGGTAGTTCTAGGAAGTGCATGGAGCTGGAGAAAAAGGAAAGAAGGAGGGAAATAAGACATGGAAGAAAAGAGAAAGGATAAGAGGAAGGGAGGGAAGTAGGGAAGGAGGAAAGAAAGGAGAGAGGATGGGAGAGGGAGAGTTCTATTAAGCCAATTCCTTTTTTATTATCCTTTATAAGTCCTGAAATTCAGCAAAACATCAAACTTCAGCAGGTAACAAGTAAGGGAATATAGATCTCAATCGAATTTAAGGACTAAAATTACTTTACAGAGAAGAATTCAATTCAATTACAGTGTACAGAAAAGGACAGGGAAAGGACAAGCTTTCCTTCGTGTGATAACAGCCGCCTCCAATAGCTGTGATAATTCTCTATCTCAATACTTAAGAATAAATGATGGAACAATTTAAGAAGTGACTAAGCACACAGTGTCCAACAAATACACTGTAAGTCAAAATGTAGCCTGTTAATCCTACCAATAAATCTGTCATTTCAATGCATTCAAAGCCATTTTAAATTGACCTCCTCATTTACTAATTTGAATAATGCTATGATTCTCATAGGTCAGAAATTCTCTTCATTTTTTAAAGATAAAGAAAGTAAGTGACTTCCCTAGTTTCTGGGATGAGCAGTGGCAGAGCCAGGATGAGACTGTCTAGTCAGGAGTTTTGGTCAAAACAAGATTCAATGAGTTAATATCAGATAATGTTTACATTATGGTGGTCAGATATTTGTTAATATTTAAGCTTGTCTTCCTTTTACTAAATATTGCTGCTGTGGTCAAGAAATGGTTCTGAAAACA